GGGTGTACAGAGTGCAGTGCAGGCACGCACTGGGGCTGCCCCCACCATAAGGGAGAAATCTGCTCCTGATCCTTTATGAAGATCAAGCTCCCAGAGTCTGCAAGCTGCTTGACCACAGACCCTGACAAGAAGGAAAACATTTAGCTGCCAGCCTTCTCCAATTTCCAATCCCCACCAAGCTCAAGATTTGGGCAAAGGGCCTCTCCCTCCCTGGCATTAAACCATTGGCCAGAGCATCTTGGAAAACACTGCTTGCACTGGTTGCTTGCTGGCTGGGGTTAAACCACAACACACTTGAAATAAGGCAATTAAACCACTCATTTCTTTCTCATCACCAAAAATAAACAGAGGATCTAAGATAGTGGTTCTAAACACAAGATTAGAAAACATTCCTTGCCCATAAGCTTCCTGGAGCAAGGCTTCCTGTCTTCATTCCAGTTAAAGATACCTTTAACACAACTCACTCTACAGCACTCTTGGTTCCTCCCCAAACATCTAAGAATAGTCTCATGCATTTAAAGATTTTTTCCCTAATCAGGAAAGAAACAGAATAATCACTTGAGGTAGTTTAGTGAACCAGTTAAGAGTCACGAAAACCTCAACTTTATTTGGCAGCCATGGTCTGCCCGTCAGTGCTCATTGAAGGGAGTTGGAGGCAGGGCTGAACCTCGGTTTTGTGCCACTGCAGTGCTGGAGATTGGGCTTCCCACACTACAAATGAGCATCACAACTACCACAACAGCCAGCAAGGCAGCCAGCACACCCATACTGCTCTGTCTGGGTTATCTGCCGTGGCTGCCTCAGCCTGTGACACTGCCTTGTAAGAGACTGCATCAGGAGGAAGAGGAAGATAGTGTCTGATAGTGCCCCACAACCAACAGGTCCAGCCGCTTCTCCAGCCCTGCTGCTGCACACACATGTCATTTCTTGCCACCCTCCACATCCTCACTCCCCAGAGTGAAATTGTTTCTTATGAAAATCAGAGGATCTCCTGTTTAAGAACTGGACTCCAGTTTAAGTAAAAGCTGTTTAAAAATAAAACTGTCCTCATGAGTTTGCTCATGGAAATCAATGGCATGCTAGCAGATGTACCAAATATCCCCCAAAGTGCACGTGTCAGTGCATTTCTTCCTTCAGAGATCATTAATGGCTCATGACCAAGGTCAGGAGTCAAGTCTAAGACTTTGCTGCTGATATAGAGGAAAGCATCTTTGCAGTGACACAGGGCACAACCTGACCAGCTAATAGACTCACAGGAACTCGACTCCCAGACCTCATCCATCCCCTAATTTATAAATAATAAATTGCCATTTCAAAGCTGCTGTCTAGGAAGAGTATCCTGAGCCTTTGCAACCCCTTGGAGAGTGCAAACAGTGACAAGACAAGAAACACACAGCGGATTAAAACAGCTGTAAGTAAAATCAGTTTCAAAGCCAGAATAAAAGCACACCACCAAAATCTCGCGGACAAGAAAGGTTTTTAGCAGATAAGGCCTAAAATGGGCAGGCCTGGAACCAGCCTCCCCCAGCCTCCACAAGGGAGAGCACTCAGTCACCATAGAGACAAAGCACAAGCACGACTGCTCTTGTCCCCACTCTGCAACCTCTGTCTCCTCCGAGGCTCCGGAGCAGATGGCAAGCTTCGAGCGAGGGAAGGAGGGACTGCTGAAATGCTGCATGTAAATAAGACAGCCCAACAGTTTTGGCGTGCCTCGGCAGCAGCCGAGCAGGGCTGTGAAGGGGCTGCTGCAGGAGCACAGCGTCCCCGAGGAGCCGGGACAGCACCGGGACTCGGGCTGGAGCCATCCCCAGCACTGCGCTTCTGCCTGCTTTCAGAGGCTAATTAACATGGTCCTTTGGCTGCTCTCCTGATACCCTCAGGAGTGTCTTTTCAGCACAACCTCCTATCTGGGTCTAGAAGAAGGAACAGGGGATAGCTTTGCTTCCTTGGAGAAATGTGTGATTTGCAGCACAGCAGCCACACTCCTGCTATGTAGTTTTCCCCCCCTCCACGCAGCCCCCAAAGAATCTGACCAGCTCAGAGATAAGGGGCTGTGAGGGGAGGAATACCAGGAGAGGGATAAATATTCAAAAGAGGCTCTTACCCCAGGGTGTTGGGACAGCTCTCTTTATTCTGTTATGTCCATGGGAGAGCGGGGCGAAAAAGAGGAAGAACAGGAAATCTCAGGGGTCTATATAGGTTTTGGACAGGGTGGGCTTCACTGGCTCTCCGCCAACCCCGTTGGGGTAGAAAGGAGGGGTCCAGGGGTTATCTTGATCAGAGTCACAGGGTCCCGGGGGAAGGGGGGCACAGGGTGCCCATGAGCTCACTGTAACATTGCCAGAGACTCCTCCCCATGGGAAGGGAAGGTGACGAGGCAGGAGAATGCTGCCATGCTTTGACACAGGACACACGGAGTCCCTGCAGCTTTGACTGTCCATCACTGCCCCAGCCAGAAAACAGGTGTTTTTTTCAGGAGCCTCACCTTGTTTCCCAGGCATTCAAAGTATCTGGTACTTTGTTTTTTCCCTTTATACCTGATGAATTTTTCCACCTTAAAATTATCTCACGCAAGCAATCTGTGTATCTCTTGGGCTTAGCCCTCTGTTCCAAGAGAAGGGAACAGCTCTGCACCTCTCAGATGGATTGATGCAGCTTCTCGGTGCATGTTTGGTACTCAAAGCACTATCAGTGGGTCCCTCCACACACATGCTACATCAGCACACCCCTGTCCAGGGTGAGAAAAGCAGGAAGAACATCCACTTGGATTGCATTATCACAGCAAGGCTTTGCTGGATCTGAGCTGCAAAGGGCAGATTTACAGCATGTGGGGACTCTCTCTTGGAAGAGAGGAGCATTCCCATCCCTGGTGCTAACTAGTGCACCACATCTCAGCTCAGCTTGCAGGGCCCAAGGGTTTGAGATGAAGGGTCTGCCCACGACCAGTCATTAGACCACCAGTCATCAGCACTTACGGATTTCTCTGGGTTTACACTCTTCCACTCTCCCTTACACAGCCTAAAAAGACTAGCAATAGTCACAGCTCAAATACTCTATTTAAAGGCTGCCTTGAGGACTAGAAGTTAATTTTAAAACTAACTGACCTAAGCTCTTTGCCATAGTACCTCAGGAGGAGTCTGGAAGGGTGGGGTTACTGCTAATGCCTGTCTAGAGAGTGTGTTTTACCTCCCAGCTCTTATTTCGCATTATTAATGTCAAGGTTTCTTAACAAAATTTGTCTTGGTCAATTAACTCAGACGGGGATGCTTGTAACATTCCAAATAAAGCCAACCACATCCTGTGCTCAGAAAGATGAGCGAGCCTGGCTCAGGAAACAAGGGAATGACAAGGGCAAGGCATGACTCACACCTACCCCACTCCCACATCCCGGAAAACAGCCCACCCCATCAGCCTGGCAAGGACACAGACACCAACAGCCTCCTGCTCTCCCCACAAGAGCTCTCTCTGCTGTCCTGCACACCAAGGCTGCCTGTAGCAACAGAAGATAAAAGTCTGTTTTGAAGTATATTTGCCCAGTGGATCTGTCACAACAAAAGCATCACAAAGACACCTGCAATGACACTGTTGCACACTACAATAGAAAAAGGGACTCCTTTTCATAGAAAGGTGTTACTTGTACATCAAAATAGCTCTTGGTTTGACTTGTATCAGATTCAATTACAGTGCATTGAAATTTAAGGTACAGTTCTTACATGACCAGGGCCATGAGGGGCCACCCAGCATCTCTGCTGCCAGGTAAGAATCACACTGGGGAAGTTGAGGCCAATTCCCTTGGATTTCAGTGGTTGCACTCTGCAGTGGAGACAAAAAAGCTTCACTTTTCTTTTGCCTTGCCTGGATGACCACTGCTGTGGGACTGGAAGGCAGTGACTGGTTGGCACAGAAGTGGGATGCAGGCAGAGCTATATTAATCCTTGACTGCTGAATGAGTATGCTTCCCTTCCCAAAAACACCTCGGGCTGTTCCCAACCGAAAAATGTTTGTGTATCAAAGCATCCAACTATTTCCCCAAACTATGTCATATCCAAGAGAAATGAATAGTTCCAGGGAAACCTGGACAAAAAAGGTAATTTAGAACTTCTTCATAGATCTGAAACAAAGTGTTTTGACTATCAGAAATTCATCTCTTGGCTGAAAAAACCTTTTACCAAACCCCTCTCGAATTTAAGGTCCTCACAGAAGCGTACTTTCACAGAAGTAAATAGAAGTCAAAGTACAAATAGTCAAGTACAAATAGCGAGGAAGGATTTTTGAAAGCCATCGTCATCTGAACTCGCCACTTTTTCTGAGGAACACATTCACAAGTATATTTTTTGCTACAGGAATTATAGCACATGTCATTTCCAACCAGAACATGCACTACCCATCTCAAATCTGATATGGTCAGAGCAGGCACAAAACCGTGGGTGCCTGGGGTGAGAATTGCCTCTGGCTCCCCCCAGGCCTTCTAATCAAGTCAACTGCTAATGAAGGGCTTGTAAGCACCCATCTTAGGGGAGCAGCCCCCACAGCTGTGTGGGCAGGGCAGACCTTGCCTCAGACTGTCACCTGCTGTGACAGGCACAGTGGGACAGGAGAGCAAAGACTCCAGCAAGCACAGAGATCTGCGAGGGATGAGGCTCACGTGGAGAAAAGCAATCTGCTGGTGATAACGACAAGAGCACAGGTAAATGGCTGCTTCAGGTGAGTATTTATTCATGCTGCCCCCACAATTTCATATTCCAATCAACAGAAATAAGGACTGCTCTACACATCTGGTTTTTAGGCCAGATATCACCTAAAAGGTCTCAGCAGATGTCAGCTCTTGCCAGCCACAGGCTACAAATCCCAGGGTGCAGGTGCAGACCATACCACTTCTGGCCATGCCAAGCCCACCGAAATTCCCCCCACAGCCTCCTGTTCAATCACAGCCCCTCCAGAAGCTCACTCCTGCCTCATGTGCAGCTGTCTGTGCTGGTGCAGCTACCAGCTTTCAGTGGAACCAAGGCAAGCACGCAGGACCTTTTCAAGCTGCCCTCACAACAAACCACCCCAGGCACATATCCCCACTCAAACACTTCCTTATGTGCTCCCTGGTTCAGGATTAGCAATCCCAGCAGTATTCCAGCTTTGCACTGCTCACTCCTGCACAGACCTGTGCTCACTGCTGGGGTGGCTCTCTTCCACAACACACCTCAGCCAGTCCCTTGCAGGGCCACCTCTGTGACATCCCATCCCAAGAAGCAGCCTGCTCACAACTGAACTGCAAACCACATCATTCCATTATCTGCACCAGAACACATGAAGAACTGTAGCTAACAAAATAAATAAATGCCAGTCCCCAGTTTAGGAGTGCAGAAAGGTAATTGTTTTGATTTGCAGTACAAACTAGAACTTGAGGGGAAGCAAGACCAATTTCTACTAATTAGAATCACAGTATCCCAGACTGGTTTGGGTTGGAAGAGACCTTCAAGATCTTATGTCCTACTACAGGCAGGGACACCTTCCTCAGGTTGCTCCAAGCTCCCTTTAACCTGGCCTTAAACACTTCCAGGGATGGGGCAACCACATTTTCCCTGGGCAACCTGTGCCATGGCCTCACCAAAATTCTCACCCTTTTAGTTCATTCAGCATGGATGTGGAAGTGACACAGAACAGAAGAGGAGCTGTAGCTGCTGCACAGCTGTGACAGGTAAGTCAAGAAGCAGCTGAAGCAGGTTATTGCGCTCATCTAGCAGCCCAAGAAAAGAGTTTTCAGGATAACCTTTCATTAGTGAATCCTGCTTTGGGCTGCACAGCCACCTATGCTGGATGGCAGCAACCAGCTCCCCAGATCCTTCCTTGTGTAGCTGAGGGCACAGCATCACACCCTGCAGATCCCCAGAGCACTTCCAAGGGAGAGCACAGCCCACCTGGCCCAGCAGACACAGACACTGCCTCTGTCCTTCTGGCTGCTGATGCCCAGTGCTGCAGATCAGAGGCGGGATCAATATCACACTCCTGCTAAAACCAGTGTTGAGGGCAACCATTTGACACTGACTAGAAACAGAAGTAAAACTGACCTCATCGACTATCATTTTCCAAGCAAAGGCAGTGAGTAAGGAGCAGACTAGCAGTGCCAAGAGCAAAAGACTAATTTGGTGGGGGCTTTCTATTTAATATCCATGTTCCTGATCCTACAGAGATTTAAGATTTCTTTGGGCCTACACACTTGCATAAGGTTGTGTGTGCATTTAAGAGGCTGTAGGATCTAAGCCAAACTTTTTACTAAGTACTAGATAAGCAAATTTGCCTTACAGGAATTTTAATTTGCCATTACTCCTTTAAAAATGTATTTGTTCTCTGCTAAATAGTAATAAATTAGTCTAACAGCAATCATTTATGTTTCTTTAGCATCTTGGAATAATCTCAATACATTTTTACCAACCACAGCAACCCAATGAAGCTAAATCAACTGCCACATGTACATCTCACAGAGACTGGTTTGAAGATGGGGTCTTTACAGTAGAAAGCTTGAATTTTTCACTAACTCACAGAAAAAAACATATTTATAAATTCAAGTAGGAGGGAAGACGCACAGGAGCTCTGCAAGAAGAGTTTAATCTGGTGAAAGGAAGAATTTTTTTCAGCAGATTTTGCACCCTGCCCACCTACCCACCCCTCCCTGCCACCACACATCAGGAGATTCACACACAGCAAGCCCAGCCCTTCCAAGGAGGCTGATACAGCCTCCTGCACACCTGAGCTTTGCACACAGGTACCAGTGCCGGCCCCTGCACCACACCAGACCATCCCAGCTCCTGAGGAGGGCAGAGATGAGAGCAGACCCAGCCCAGGCACAAGAGCCCAGGCCTGCCTGTAGCCCTTGGTGCTGGTTTCAATGGACAAGGACCAATGCTGGAGAAATCTGTTTCACAAGTACTACAAAGCTTTTTCTTTTTTTTGGGGGGGGGGGGGGGGGCTTGCCCACTTCCCGAGCTCCCTCCCCAAATGCAGAAGGGTGTTATCCCCTGAGAGGAGGCTGGAGAGGTGACACACTAACCAGGCAGACATCTCCAAACTGGAGCCCTTAAATATCTGTATTTTGGCATTCCTCCTCTCCACCATAACCTGCAGCACATATCACAACCCGTTTCACTCCCAACACAATCCCTGGAGCAACACCACTGCAAAGGCAGGGAGGGGAAAGAACAGCAATGCCTAAAGAGGAGTTGAGGCTGACCCAGGGCAGCACAGGAAAAATCAGGCTACCTCTCCTGAAAACAGCCATGCTGTTATCTCCTCTCCCCACCAAAAGAGCTGTTCACTTGAGTACAGCTGGATAGTAGTGAAGGACTGGGTGGAAAGAGATTTTTTTGTTCTGCCAGGCCGTGGACTACTGGAGCCAGGGTCATTAGCTATGCACAGCAAGCAGGCAGCACTCCCTCATTAGCAGGCACTCGTCAGCTCCAGCCACCTTCATTATTGGTTCAAAGGAGTGTGCCCAGCCATTATTGCCCTCTCCAGAAACTCAGCCTAATTGGCTTAGGGAACATACAGGTTAAGAGCATGAACAGCTCTGCAGCTAGCACAGTTTTGCCAAGTCGTGATTTTATAAGTTCAGGGAATTGTATATCCTCAGGTCCGGGAGTCTTCGGCAGTGCACTTAACCTCACTTTCTGCATCAGCTGAAGGGGACAGGATGTCTCATGGCTACAGGGGGAAAGAGTGGCCCTTAAAGGACTGCCAGACAGATGGAACAACTTTACAAGTTTTTTTCTCTCTTTTCTTTGAATTTGCAGGCCATTTCCCAGGGAAAAGCTGGTAATGTAACTTCCATGCACACGGGAAAATAGGCATGTTTGCTCTGAGCCAAGGAAGCAGCCAGCCCCAGAGCCCACTGCCCTGGGCAGTGAAGCTCTCCTTGTCCTCTGAAGACACAGCACAGGCAGAGTCTCTGTTTCCCAAAGCCAGGGAATCTCTGTCCCCAGGCACCAGCCAGCACTTGCCCCTTTTCCAGCCAAAACCACCACCAAGCAAAGTGTACCTTCAGTTCCTGAGCCATTCCTCTTCAAATGATCAAACATCCATACTTGTCCTGAGGCTTTTGCAGAGGTTTCTCTCCTCCAAAGCTGAAGCAACGCATCAGAACCATTCCCTGAATTCCTCCTTGCTTGCACACCTCTCCCCAGGTGTCCTTTAGACTGAAGGACTTCTATCTTCTTCTGAAGATAGCCCTTCAGACTACCTCAACTCCTCTGCTCAGCATGGTCTATCACCTTGTTACAAGTTCCAGGTGCTGCAATGCTCACCTGGCTGAGCCTCCCTGTTGCTGCCACCTGTTTGCAATTACCAGGGATGAGCCAGGGACATCACTGGTGGGCTACCCCCGCCCTGGCCTTGCTACCACCTGAAACCTGGGCCCTGACACATCTCAGCTGCTTGCTCCTTTCCAAACCTCTTGAAGTCCTGACTGGGTTTCAACCTTGCAGCCCAGTTTCCTGGGGCCTGTACTCTAGGCAGACACTTACCTTGGTGTTTGTTAGGGATTAGGATTTTTCCTTTTGTTTCTTTCTCTCATGGAATTTTGTCCCATTTGTTGCTAAGAAACAATAACAAGCAGTAGGTAAGAGACCTAGGAAGGAGGAAAGGAGTGTACCTGGCTGCATTTCTCTTCCGTGAGGGGTTTCTCTAGGAATGCAGAGGAGGTGCGGGATGTGTCTGGGGCAGTGGATCGGGTGCAGCTCTCGCTCCATCGCTCTCCGCCGTCCGAGCCGCTGTGTCCCTGTGGGGCAGCTCGGCAGCGCTGCGAGGCTCCGGCTCCTGCTGCCTTCTCCCTTCTGCCTGTGGGAGCGGCTGTGCCATGGAGCCTCACCAACGTTGGCCCAGCTCAGTGAAAAGGCCCCTCACCATCTGCGGGTGCCTCAGGGGAGCCCCGGGCCCTCTCCCCTCCAGGGGAGCTCTCCCGGCCGTGCTCGGCAGCCGGGCCCCGCCGCTCCCCCGTCACTGCTCCGCGGTTTGGCTGCCCTGCGGCCGCACCCCCGCCTGCCGGGGACACCCCTCGGCTCCCGGCACCGCTGCCCCGTCTCTGTGCCCGCGGTGCCGCCTGCCGGGGACACCCCTCGGCTCCCGGCACCGCTGCCCCGTCTCTGTGCCCGCGGTGCCGCCGTGCCCGTCCCGGCCGCGCTGCCGCCATCGGCGCCTGAGGGAGCCGCGGTGCGCCCGCGGCACGGCGCCCCCTGGCGGCGCGGGGAGCGCGGCGCGCCCTGCCCGGCCCGGAGCCCGCAGCGCCCCCCGCGGCCGTGCCGGGAACTGCAGCTGCCGGCCCGGCCCGGGGCCCCGCAGTGCGGGACACGGGAGTGCAGAGGGACGGGCTGCGGCACTCCCAGGGACGCTCCTGCCTGCCTTTCAAACCAAGACAGACTTACCGGCTTGTTTGAACCTTCACAAGTCCAGGCTGAGGTGATCTGCTGGGAACTCAAGCAGACTGAAATGGATGGGAGAACCAGCTCGTCTTGTAGCCTACTTCTTTCTTGCATCATTCTGATAAAATTTCCTGTAAACTGCTAGAAGAAATTTAATATTTTATATTGACATACAATGCAGAGGAGTGTGTTTAGGGATTTTTTGATAGTAATGGTCACAAAAGCTTCCCTTTGCTTTTTGCAATAGCTAATGTCTCGTTCTGTAGAGACCAATATACAATACAGGCCTTGTCCATCTTTCTAGAGCAGATCAGAAATTTTTCATCAGCAATTGCTTATCACCAAAATAAAATAATCAATTTTATTCATTTAAAACAACACATCTCAGAAAATACCAATATCGCACAGTCTGTTCAATAGCCTTTCCATTTAAAAAAATGAAACAAAGAATTTTGAGATGTCTAAAACGCCTTGTTCAAAATGATTTTTCAAACAAAATAATTTAGTTTGTATTTTAAAAATAGTGGCAAGCTGCAAAGGCTGAAATAGAAATGAAATGTTTAATTTTGGAAGAACATATGCTTCATCAGAATTTTTAACATTCATTTCAGAGTCAAGAGAAAAACTGATGCCACAGACTTTCCTGTCAAAAGGAGAACTCGCTTCTTTACTTGTCCTAATATTTACGACTTCTACTCAGTGTTAACAAAATGCAGAAATACTTTTCACTTGCCATGTGAATGAGGAGAGCTCTGTTACAGAGCTGCCACACTCCGGCCCAGAGCGGCTGCACTTCAGCCCTCTGCGAAGGGCTCATTGCATGGCAAAGCTGCGGCTCTGGAGGTGACAGCAGCTCCCTGTCACGACTGGCCAGAGCAGCAGCAATAGATCAGCATCGCTGTCACACTGCTGTCAGCGCCTGGCCCTTGGCAGGCAAAGCGATGGATCCGCTGGGGCTGAATTAATTGAATCCCAATCCTACAGGCATCCTCCAGAGACAGGAGCTGGACACAGCTACCCATGCCTCGGACACAGGAGTGCTGCTTTTGTTTGAAAGCACCTCTTTCCCAGAATATGTTTAAAAGTGATTAGCAATTGGCAGGTAGACAAGTGACTGAGAGCTCTAGGCATTGTAATTCAAATCTGGGGTTAGCACATCTCTGCTCTCCCTTCACACAGAGCAGGGAAAGGGGACAGGAATGCCGGATGGGTGTGAAGCTGCTCTGCGGTGACAGGGCAAGAGCAAACAGGAGGAGTACACGTTTTTCCCATCTCCCCTCCAAATTACAGTCCCTGGAATGAGCTGGCAAAACCAGCTCCGGCTGCTGTGCACCACAAGGTCCTTCAGGCTGCAGAAGCACTGATGGGTGGTTAGTGCCTGCCTACAGGAGCAGGAGGCACCCACCAGCCTCCCACGGCCAGGCCATGGAGAAGGGGATGCCTCTGCCAAAGGAGACAACAAAATCTGCGCCTCATGCTGGACAAGCAGCTCCAGCTGTCTCACCAGAGAAGAGGTAATGAGTGGGTTGTTCATGTCCCAGTGAGCACCAGAGTTAAAGGGCTTTTTGGGAAAGGCATGTAGAAAGGGGAACAGTTAAAATGAAGCATGGATAAGAAATCCATCCCCATCCCTATCATGATCTTATTGATGATGAAAATGTTAAGTTAATAGAATCATGGAATGGTTTGGGTTGGAAGGGACCTTAAAGATCATCCAGTTCCACCACCCTGCCATGGACAGGGACATCTTCCATTAGACCAGGTTGCTCCAAGCCTACTCCAACTTGACTTTGAAGTTGTTCCAGGATAGAGGGGTGGGTTAGTGTGCAGTCCCCACCCCCTCTTTCACGGGCTCCTGTCTCAAAGAAGTGTGTTTGAGGTATGGGCCCTGCAGAAAGAGGCAGCTCCTTCCAGAAAAAGAGGAGTGTACAATCACCTAATAGTCTAACTAGTCACATCATAGTCTAATTAGTCACCTCATAGTCTAATCACAGTCTAATTATTCACCTGATATAGACACCTAATAGTCAGATGCAGAGTTGACACAACCAGAGTGGACTCACAAAAGTTTGGTATGTATACCACTTTTCTCACCCCAAGAGGCTGCAGGGCAGGAAAGGACTGACAGTGTTTGTCTCCTGTGATATTTGCAATTTTCCTTTTTCCTACCATTTCAGAGAAGAGTCGCATTCCAATCCTTATACAACCATCCCCAAGCAGTGCCCACTGAGACCTGAGTGTTTCTGTCTCTTTTGATAGTGCCTGTATCCCTCAGCAAGACAAAATGCCCCCAGCACAAAGCAGGCTCTGCAGCAGAGGCAGGAGCTTTGCACCCAGCAGCTGGTAGCAGGCACCAGCCCCTGAAATTCCAAGCCTGTCTGCAGGCACAAGCACTCACATGCCTTGGAGCAGTGGGGGTCCCCCAAACACCTATGCATTAGCCTGCTCTCAGGGGACAAACAGCTCCTGAGTCACTGCACAGCCTTCAAACACGGGCTTTGTGCACTGGGTTATAAAAAGATGGGGAAAGAAGTCTTGAAAACATTGTTTTTTTAATCTTTTAGTGAGGTGGCACGGGAAGGGGTGGGGATCGTGTGTCTCAGTAGTGGAGCAATTCATGAGGCCCACAAGCTTCCCTGAAAGGAGGCAAGGCAGCCCTAGAGAGATCAATCGCAATTTTATCTACCCTTTTCAAGTTCTCATTTCTTTTTATCCTGTACTGCCAGATAAAAATCTCTGCCTCAAACATGGGTAAGGAGATAGAGCTTTATTATACCATTCCAAAAACATTAGATGCTGTAGGCTTCGCCCTTTTATGAGTTCACTTTGCTGGCACTTTCCTCTCTGCTCCCCCCCAAATCTCTTCCCTTTAATATTTTTTCTCTCCAAATCAGAACAACAGGCACAAAACTAATTATGTGATATTTCAGATCCATGTTGTGTTAATGGCACCCGATCGCGTGTGACATTTCCGACTTGTTAGACCATTATTCTCGCTTATTGTTATCTCTGCTGCTCTGAATACTGGCTCAGGGCTTTATATCCCCCCCATGCACCAGGCTCTCATCCCCCCCTTCCCTCTCTTGTTCTCATTTATCAGTGTGTGAGGATCTGTGGAATATTAAACTGGGCCATGCTGGATTGCTCACACTGCTCATTATGGGCAATGATGGAAGGCAAGGAAGAGATGACAGAGCAGAGAAGGTCAGGAAAAGCAAATGCCAGAGGGGATTTGTGGGCAGAAGCCACCATAGCAAGAGTCAGCCCAGGGGAGTCACCGACTTTAGGCAGAGCTGTGTCAGGCTGTGAGATGTCCATTCCTCAGGTGACCTTCCAGTGATGGCTGCCCATCTCTCCTGCCCTGTATTCTCCAAGGGTGGACCAGAATCCATGGGAGACCCTTCTGATGTGGCTTCATCTCCCACAGGCCTTGTTTCTTCTGCCTAGACCTGTGGGTGGGGCCTTAGGCAGCAGAGGCAGCAGGCTGAGCCTGGCCTCGAGCCCCTGGGCTGCCTCTCAGAGTGACAGCTCCTGGGGCCTGTCCCACCTACAGCCTCTGCTGCTGACCATAAACCTAGAGAGGGCCTTCAACTCTGGCCAAGGTCCAGAAGCACCAAGAGCCCAGGGAACATCAGCTGCTTTGCAGCTGCAGCACGAGGCAGAACAAATGGCAAGAGCTAATCGAGGGGTGCTGCTGCCACCACATGCCTGCCAGGCAAATATCTGTGATGCCACCTCAGGGACTGGACTTCTTCAGGGAATGTCATGGTGCAGCTGTTGCCCCTTTAGGGCCAGTTCACGATCCCAGGGGTTCAGGGAAGCATGCAATCATTACACACAGTTCTAGCTGCTGCTTCACCTGCCTGCAGAGCTCCCATATCCTGAGGACTCCTTAAGGTATTGGCCTGAATGCTGCCAGCCTTTTGTTTCACTTCCTGACTGATTGTGCTCCTGGGTCTCTTTAGTCACACAAACACAGCAGCTGATTTGTCTCCACGCAGCACTCAGTGAGATGGCGGCTGCCAAGTTCTTCCTGCTGGTACAGGCAGAGTGATCATGCCAGCACTGAGACTACAGGGAAACACTGAGAGGTTCCTCTTGCCTCCACTGCTGCTCGCTGAGGCTTCCCAGCGTGCCACAAATGGCTTTTCCCTCCCCATGCAAATTCTTGTGCTCCTTTCCAACCCCACCCTTGCTCCTGCTCCATATGTGTAACCCTGTGCTGCCAGTGAGCAGCACTCCAGACAGCCCACACAGCTGGCTGCAGCCAGCAGGGCCTTCTGCCCTGTGAAACTGTGTCAGGAGAGATCTATATTGGCAACCAAGCCAGGCCCAGAGCCCAGGCTTGAGACACGGTCATGGCTATCCAAGCCAGGACATGCTTCCCTGGCCTGCTCCGGCCATCACTGTCCCAGAGCATCCTGGACACAGTTCAGGGGGTGGCATGAGCCAGG